GGAGCAGTACGGGGTGGCCCTTCCCCACTGATTGGAGGATAGCTGTTCAAGACCCTGCTGTCATCCTGGACGGGAAGACCAAGAAGGAGCTCCAGTCACTGGCTTAGCTCGGGTTGCATTATAAAGACTTCACTTATGAGGAGAAGCTCGTCCAAGCGGGCTTGAGTCCGGGTAGGTTTTCCCCACTTCGGCTTTCCGCTCATATATTTGCTTCAGGTTGCTAATGTCGTGTTTCACCGCAGGTCCCATGGACGCGGAGAAAATAGACAATCAGAGGCTCTTCCACCAGATGAAGAGGAAGAAACGCGTGGCAAAGAAGGCGCGCGTTGGGTCGCCGCAAGCTTCAGCCGAGCCTCGACTTCCGCAGACTTTTGCCTCGGGGCCCGAGGTGGCAGCCGCGCCCTTCATCGACTTGGAAGAGGGGGTTGTGCCTAAGGGGCTCGAGGTGATGGCGGAACCTACCGTTAAGCCCGCTGAGCCTGCTGCCGAGCCCACTAGACTTGCCAGAGCCAGAGAAAGCATTGCCGAGGCCAACGCTGCTGCTGCCGGGGCTCATTCTGCCGAAGCTGCAGCCGAGGTCTCCGAGAGTTCTACTAATGATGTGGAGATGACGGCTTCTAGCTCGGAGGGTCAGGGGAGCCAAACCGTCCTGAACCCCAAGTGCAGCCTAAAGAAGAGTAGGCTGGCTGCATACCCGGGGGAGGTCAGCGAGTGGGCCGAACTCACTCCTGGTCAGCTCAACGCCCGAGCTACCACTCATACTATGGTGGTGAGTAGACCTATTCATGGGCCGGCTCGGGCCAGGCCGGGCCCGGCCCGACCAACGGGCTTACAACTTGGGCCCGAGCCCAGCCTTAATAAAAAGCCCAAAGCCCGAGCCGGAAGCCCGACCTAATAAAAAAAATTAGATATTTTCCCTATTCAATAATCAATATAAACAAGAATTTATTTACATTAAAAAAATATATAAATTCAAAATTTATTTATATTAAAAAAATAATATAAAGAAGGGAAAGAGGATGTGGAGAAGAAGAATTCGGTTGGAAAAAGAAGGGAAAGAGGTGAAAAAAAGAGGGGTATTCAACTAGGGTTTTTAGGTTTAGTTATAGTTCGGGCCGGGCCGGGCTATTTTGGCAAATCCCGAGCTCGGCTCGAATTTATTGCGGGTCGGGCTTTTTGGCCCGAGGTTAAGCCCGTGGGCCTATATAGGTGTTCAAGCCCGGCCCGTGGGCCTATATAATTATTTTTTTTATTTTTAATTATAACATCAAGGTTTGATACATTTGACTCGAAAAAATGTTGAATTGTTGACTTTCCACCAAACAGGAAAACTACTATATTTTTTTGGGTTAGTTTTAAATTTATATTTTATTTTTTATCACCAATAAAACTAATTATTCATTGTCACACTTATTTTTCTTTAGTATGGTTCATTAATATAGATTCAATGAGTGAATAGAGTTAATATCCTAAATATAAGACTTAATTGGAGGGGACAATGAGGATAAATGTAATAGTTTAAATTACATTTTGTACCCTCAAAATTAAAGGGGGCCTAATTTAAAATAGGGGTATTCCATTAAAAAATATGAGTCAATGAATGTTTATGGAAGTTAATACCTTAATTGAGGATGGAAATGGATCACATTCGAATCGGGGTATACTTGAATATGCTCTAATAAATTGTAGATTTGATCTGATTCGATCGGATCTAAAAAATATTGATTTGAATTCAATTTCGATAAATGGTATTAGATGTCCGAATACGATTTGTTCCGATTTAATTTTAAAAGATGAAAAATTATTGAAATAAAAACAAATAAATATAACAATTTAAATAAAGAAAAACAAAAGTAAAAGTAATTTCAACTATTTTCATAATATATATACATGTTTTATAAAAAATCACAAAAATACGATATAAATAGATAAATAACATATATATGTTATATATAGGATTGGACTCATTCGGATCGGATTGGGGTGATTCGATTTTGATCCATTTTTTTAATCAAATATGACTAGAAAAATCCAAAATAGATATCTAAATCTGACAAATAGGATCGGACTTTGGGTCATATTAGGTCATGAACTGATCCATTTGCATCCTCTACTTAAAAAAATAAAAATAATGAGAGGGATTTGAACTTTGAATGATGAGCAAAATGGTTATTCCAATTACATTTTAGTCATTGCAATTAGATAGGAACCTGGGGTATTTTAGTTAAACAAAAGTTACACCCACAATGTACGTATGTATGTATGTATGCATATATATTTACATAAAATGCATACACACATGTGTAATTTTAGAGTGGGTTCATTGACTACCCTGAGCTCGAGCCCAACTTGAGTGCATCAAATTACAACATGGGTTGGACTCGGGTTGGGGAAGACCAGGCTTGACCTCGGGCTTGGACCTTAGCCCCAAATATTAGGATTGGGTTTGGATTGACCATAAACCCAGCCAAGCTTGTGTGACTTGCACCCCTAATAAAGCTTGAATCAACAAATGCTTTGTCAAACAAAACAAATCATCAATCATCATCGCCATTTAAACCTTATCAATTATATGCGGTCCTCTATATGAATACTTTTTCACCATTATTCCATTTTTTGATGTAAAACTTTGTTATTTCAAAATATGGGAAATGTAAAGCGTATTAGAGAAACAATTTTAAGAAACGTATTGAGATATGCTTTCGATACGCATGGATACAAATGGAAATAAATATATGTATGGATACACTATGAAACTTGTATAAATCCTAAAAAACTACAATTAGCGACAATTATGAAATTTATATGACTATAAATACATTATTTAAACATAAAAAACTATACTTTAATGGTTTATCTAAAGTGTGAAATATTGGGACACAATTAAGAAAATTATGGAATAGCTAAATGTGCATATATATCTTAATTTTTAAAACTCTAAATTACCCTTTATGTTATTTTATGAGACCATTTGTCCATTTAAGTTATTTTTCTCTCATTCATAACTCTCATAAATGCTCCACTTAAATAAATGATTTCAACTAAGTTATTGAAAATGCATCCAGAATATTCAATTTTATCAACATCCTGTGAGTGATTTGTGCTTTAGAATAGTTATTTGGTGAATCCATATCGTCGGAAAGACATGATAACAGAAAGGCTTTAACCTATGAACAACCCGGGATGAATTTACTTTAATTCTGTTGGTTTGTGTCCAATCCAAAAGTAGAAGAAGATAAATAATAAAAATAAGAATAGACCATGTGCACTTTTGTAAATTTATCCAACACCATGATGTTAGTTTAATAGAGTTGGACTTAAATGTATATTTCTAAAAGTTCAGGTATTAAAGTGACATATTTAAAAAATCAGGCCCTAAAGTGAGACTATCCCCAAAGTAGGATATCTCTTAGACTACCCCTAAAGTACTAGGGTATTTATATGAAGTTTAATCAAATTTTATCAACATCATTGGAGCAATTTGTGTTTTGGAATAGTTATTTTACATGTTTGTTGTTAGCTCATAGAATTTAAGACGGGCAATTTAATAAATTTACTTTCACCATCAACCCCTTTTAATACATAAAGGAGTTTAGGGACAAAGTGCTAGAATTTGGAAGTTTTGACTTTTGAGAGGTGTTTGTCATAAAAGAAAGTGCAGGGGGCTACCGGAATTTGTTTGGTAGTGCTTGTTTGATAAAAAAAGTGTTCATCAAAATAAGCACTCACGGAGTGTTTGGTGGGAAGGCTTTTATTTAAAATAGGGATAGTATAGATATTTTCAAATGATGCGGTGGGCCAATATGGGCTAGAAAGGAAACGACACTTACAAACACTTCAAATTAAGCTGAAACATTGAGCTTCTTGAACAATTGCTTATTTTCAAGCAGCACTCATGCAGGCTTATTTCTCAATAACAAATAAGTGTTTATTGGTATAGTTTTGACCCAAAAATAAGTTATTCCAATAAGCAATTTCAAACATGAGCTTAATTGCTACTAGTGATGTAAACGGATTGGATTGGATTCGAATCAATGTATATCCAAATCTGATTCGCTAGTATAAATCTCATTTATGATCGAATTTCAAAAAGGTTGAATTCAAATCCATTAAGGATGTTAGATATCAGAACCTAATTCAATCCAATTTAATTTATTTAAAATTTAACAAATTATTAAAAAAAACATAACAGTTTATATAAACAAAACCAAAAAAAGCAAATTTAAACTATTTTTATCATTATATATACATGCTTTTTATAAAAATATAAATAACGCTGCTGCTTTATTTAATTGAATACAATTACGCGGTGTGATAAAAAAATCAATTAGGAGGGTATCCGAATCAAAACAAAATAGGATCCGATTCGAATTCGGATCAAGCCGTCATCCGATCTATTTGCATCCTAACCCCAAACTCAAGCACTCTCTCACTGTATCGTCACAAGACACAAAAGGCCGATTCCAAGAGAACAGAGCACTGTTCTATCACAAGACTCCCATAACCGAGTCCGGATCTGCTGCGCTTGTTTGGGCCGGACTTATCGTGCATCCGCATTAAGTTTGCGACACGTGTTTCACTCCACCTGTGACTATATTACCTGGTATTTGGTTACACGTGTAGTACATAGAAATTCAGTCCAAACTCCAAACAAATGCAGCAGATCCCGACTACCTATAATTGGATTATACGCGAGAGAATCATTGGATCGATTCAATACGCTTTTTCTTCACGTGAAAGTACTAAAATACCGTGGATTTTTCAGTCAGGTGGAATGCTAATCCTAATTTCGCAACGGGAATTAGAGATCTACTCTCGCTAATGTATGTACATGTGTCCGTTCTAAGGGTATTTATGTCTTTACGCACAAAGGCATTTAGTGATCATAACTTCCATCGACACGTGTAGGCGCAAGAGTGAGAATTAAGATCTCCGATTCTCGTCGCGAGAGTAGAGTTAGCATTTCCCGACAGACAACAAGAAAGAAAAGACGTAGAAAATATCTCCAATAAATAATCCTCTCTCTCTCTCTCTCGGGGTGGTTCGATAATGGCTCTGCCATAAATCATAACAACAAGCGGAAGGGAAGAATGGTGACGAGAGATATGGAAGCTCAATACCCTAAGCCACGTTCATACGGAAGTACCGTGAAAATGGCGATCTCTCAGCCTCAACAGTCCGATAACGATCGGAGCAGCGGCGAATTACGAGCCCTAGACTGCAACCTTGCTTCTCTCTGCGATCACATTCAGATGGAGGGTCTTAACTCCGGGGCTTTCTCCGACATTGTTGTTCAGGCAATGGGATCTACTTATCGTCTTCATCGGTTAATCCTCTCTCGCAGTTCATATTTCAGGTTGCCTTTCCACTTGTTTTCTCTTGATTTGCTTATAAAATTCATTTTATTATTTTATATTTGATTTCTTTCAATACCACATATATTTTATTTTTTATTGCTAATCCTATAAAGATCACGATTTCCATAATTTCTAAAGGAATTGTTTGGTTTAAAGATAACGCTGCTGCTTTTTTCCTATATTTTGATGCATATTCCTTGGAAACTAAGGACCAGAAACATTGGAGCACATTTTGAGTTGAGGCTTAGCAAGTAGCAACATTTATTTGAGGAAATGACATGACTGGACTGGACAATTGTCTGTGAGTGTACTGGTTTCCTTTCCCGGATATGAGATGCTAGTAGTCTTTATAGGATTGTCTGTTCAGACTTTGTACTCAAAGTGATATAATGAAGAAAAGAAGCGGTTGCCATTGTTATAATTTCATCCATTGTCAAACCCTTTGTTTGATTTGAAGAACCATACGTGGGCTTCATTTTTTCCCTTTTGACAAACAAAGAAAAGATTTTTGTTATGAACTACTACCTTCTACACCCAAAATAGCTTGCCAATTAAATACGGAGATCCCTTGGTTAAAACTACTAAGCTCTTCCAAGGACAAAGCACAACTCATAAGGAAAGCCAAGCCTTCTCTCTTCCTTAACAATTTTACCTTTTCCTTATTTTGTTTTGTTTTTTTTTTTCTTTTTCAGGATCATAATATTTTTTTTCCCTTTTTCCCGTTCTATATGGTTCAACAGATCACAAAAAGGAACCATGCTCTTGAGAATAGAGTCCCATGTTGCCTGTTACGATAGAAATGGAGTAGTAATCAAGTAGGGACAAGTTTATCTTTTTTGTTAAATGATGAATTTCATTAAATGCAAATGGAAGAAGAGGGGGAGGTTCCCTTAAAGGTGAATCAAGTATTAAAGGATGACTAAGGGGTTGGATTTGTGGTTTTTTTTGTGTTTCATCTGGTTCATGAACACAACCAGCGTTCACTGGTATGAGAACCAGCAACCCATGGTTTGAGAACCAGCAAAATGACCTTTTTTTGAACACAACTTTTATAGCCTTCTCAACTAGGAAACATGGTTCACTAACGTAAACATGACACGGCAGCTATAGGGTGTTTCTGACACACTTTATTAAGGTGATTCTGCCACCCAAAGATAAGTAATTCTTCTTCCAAGAAGCCAGCCTTTTTGTGAATCTATCAACTATATGGCTCTAAAAGCTGTTGTTTCCCGGATTGTCCCCTAAAGGCATCCCCAAATACTTCAAAGGCCACTGTGAAACCGCACACCCCAAAATTGAATAATGGCAAGTCTCCAAACAACCTAAAATCCACTTACACCATTTCTCCCCAAAGCCAAAGCACTCCATCACTTGCATTAAGAAAGACCAATCGATCATGTCATAAGCTTTCTCCAAGTCCAGCTTACACACTATCCCTTTCTTCCTTCTTCTCTTTAAATCCTTTACACTTTCATTTGCAACTAGAATTTGATCAACAATTTGCTTCTTACCCACAAGCGCCACTTGATTCTGTGAGGTTATGCTTAGTAGCACCTCTTTGATTCTTCGAAACAAGACCTTAGCAACAATTTTATACAAGCTATTCACTAAATTGATAGGTCTAAAGTCTCTAGGGTGGCTTGCTCCAACTTTCTTTGGGAGTAATGCAATAAAAGTTGAGTTCAACCCTGGATTTATTACCCCCCTTTCGAAGAATTCATTAAACACCTTAATAATGTCCTGTTTCAATTCATAAAAAAAAAAATTCCTGTTTCAAGATCTCCAACAATCTTGATAAAAAGCCATTGTAAAACCATCCGACCCTGGTGCCGTAGATCTGTCCATTGTAAAAACTGCCTCCCTTATTTCCTCCTCCTCAAACCTCCTTTCTAACCACCCCTTATTCTCCTATGAAAGCTTAGGCCACACTAGACCTTCCACCCAAATATTCTGATTGAAAGGTCTTCTAAAAATTGATTTGAAATACTCCACAAAAGCCCTAGCAATCTCATCCTGTTGAGTAAGAGTCACCCTTCTAAAAATTGACTTTAGTGTTTTTTCCTTTTCTTTTTCCTTTTCTTGAGGTCCTTTGTTGCTCTTGGAAGACAAGTGTGTTTGTCTTCCTCTTGTAAATCTTCTATTGATGATTTAATGAAAGTGTTATTTATAAAAAAAAAAGTTCTTCCTCCTTCCATTAGCCATTGCATGAAAGAACTTAGTATTTCTATCTCCTTCTTTCACCCACTTGTGCCTAGACTTTTGCCTCTAATGTACCTATTCTTGATAAAGAATGTCCTCTAGGTGCTTCCTAAGCTCCCACCTTTCTTGTTTTTCTCTCTCCTCGAAGGTGCCCCCCAATTCTTTAGCATCCAGCTCCTCAATTCTACAAAACACTTCTTGTTTTCTTTCCCCTATCCTGCAAAACTGAAGGGTGTTCCATTCTTTTATCTTTATTTTTAGTTCCTTCAATTTCTAGTGGAATTTCATACCCTCCCAGTTAACCCTTGGACTACTACCATGCTGCCAAGACTTAATCAACTCAATAAAACCAGGGTGGGACAACCACATGTTCTCGAACTTGAAGGGTGTGGGTCCTCTACTACTCACCTCCTCTCTCAATAGAGTGATAGGCCAATGGTTAGAAGTTAGTCTAGGCATAACCCTCGAAGTAAGCACCCCTCCAGTGTTCCTCCTAGTTGTTGTGAACAGAAATCTATCCAAGCCACACTCGACAATGTTCCTGTCAGTCGATCTACTTGGCAGTTCCAGAGCCGAAGTAACATCCTCCACCATATAATCAATATCAAATAAAATACTAGTGTTGAGCAAATCTTCTTCCAGAAGAACCACTTTTTTTTTTTGATCAATAACACTTTCATTAATTCATCAGTAGAAAATTTACAAGTGGAAGACAAACACACTTATCTTCCAAGAGTCACAAAGAGCTTCAAGAAAGGAAAAAAGAAAATACAAAGACACTAACGTTACAGCTTAGCCCAAAACAATGAATCCCTTTCTGCCCCTTGTTTAGCTAAACCGTCAGCTGGGGAATTAGCAGATCTTTTAATCCAACATGTCTTAACTTCCATCTCCCGCACCATCCACTTGAATTTCCTCTTCTCATTATTATACTTCCATAAATCATTTTTATCTTTAGTCAGCCACCCTATCACCACCTCTAAATCCCCTTCAATTATAAGTTTCTTGATGTTCAATTCCTTAGCTTTCCGGACTCCTTCCATAACTGCACAGATCTCAGCTCTAAGGGAGTCACCCACTCCAATTGGGCCTGAAAACATAGCAGAGATGACCCCATTTTCATCCCTAAAAACACCCCTGATCCCCGATTGTCCCGGGTTTCCCCTACTACATCCATCAAAGTTTAATTTCAAGAATCCACTAGGTGGGGGGGTCCAAGCCACACTCATTACTGACTTGGTCTGCGTGCAATTTGCAATTTCACTCCACTTCCTCAACATGTCATCCATAGTGTAATCTGTGAATATTTGCAAAGATTTCAGCCACTGATATTTCCAAATATTTCCAGAAGAACCACTTCCATCGTCTCTTCCAATCTATCTCCCTTTGACCCAGTCATTGGAGAACCTTCCTCATTGTCTGATGACTCGCAATCAATCCAGCCACCGTCTTGCACATCCCCCTGTTCTTTGTGCATCCTATCTTATCTTGGGTTTGGACGATCTGAACTTGCCCTCCCTGTTTTCATTTCTTTGACAGGTCTCAATGACACCCACTGAAGGCTTGCTTTGGACGACTTGCTTGAGTCTCTAATCAGCTGGGTCTTTTTTGTGGAAGAAGATAGACCCAAGTTTTTGTCCATTGTCCCCCCTACATGCTCGACCCTCACGTGACTATCAAATGACTCACATGAGGCCTCCACCCGGTTCAACTTCTTGGTCTGACTAGTTTGATTCCAGTTTGGTTCAACTTTGCTCCTTTCTCCAACTCGCCCTTGGTCCAAGTTCCTTTTTACTACATTGGCAAAAGAGGGCCCCACCATTTGGTCCTTAAAATTAGAGTTTTTTGAATTGTTTACTTTGTCTAGATCCCTGCCTAATACTTTGTTGCTGCATGACTGTTCCTTTCCCCGAAATGGATCGCCCACTTTTCCTTTATGCCTCATAATATCCTAGTCTCCATGTCATCATCATCTCCCTCCTTCGAGCAAAGACTCCACAGTGTCGCTTTGACTTCTGTTAGAACCCAAGTTTTCCTCCGCAGTTCATCAGAGAAAATGGCCACCACCCGAGGGACATCTTTCAACTTCATCGCCCACACCTTCACTTGAACAACTCGCAAACTGCTGAAGCTACAGTCCACCAACAGTCCCCCCATTGCAGAAATGATCCTCTGATCTCCACAACCGTCCTCCAGAAATTAAACGGCAACCCATCTAACTTTAAGTTAAAACTCCCCACAAATATGTCTTGCCCGTTGCAGGACATGTGCCAGTCTTCAATGACAATCAGACCTGCCTGGGTTTCAACTGATGTGAATTCAATCTTCTTGCCCCCTGTATCTAGAATGGCTCTGTTGTCACTAAAAGGTACTAGCATTGCAGAGGAAGAAAGGCTAAACTTCCTCGCTATTTCATCCATCACCGGTTGCCAGTCACTGATCTTCTTACCGGCGATTAAAACATTTATGTTCTTCCATATCCCTTTATCCACTTCCATTTCCAACTTTTGCATTTTCTGTGAGCAGGACAATGTAGGTTTCAGCTTTTGTTCTGCCTCTCCCTTTTGACACATTGGCTCTCCATTGTTCCTTCTTTCTAGATGTAAATCAGTCCTCTAAAGCTGATGTAAACTTGGAAAAATTAGAGAGAAAAAGAGGAAGAAAAGAAGAGAACAGCAGTACAAGAGAAAGAAGATGGAGAAAAGAGGAGGAGGAAGAAGAAGAGTTCGAATATCTCTTCCCTCCCTTCTCTAATCCTTTTACTAAACTTCAATCTTAACATAATTACAAGTATACCCTT